TCGAATCCAACCTATGCCCAATCAATCTGGAAGATGCAGTCGACGTTGTCTCCGCTTGTCGGGAGATTGCGCGTACAAATGCTATATGATTGAGCCGGTAGAATGGGGATCTCGGGAATGAAATGCGGAAACCGATTATTTGATTAAGTACGCGACGCAGTCAAAGTGGGGACGGGCTGACACCAGAAGACGTCCGACATTGCTCGGTGGACGCGGTGGCCTTGCAGCTTTGCTCCGACGGGGGGCATTCGCCAGGCAAATGCGAAGTGTTGGGAGTGCGTTTTCCAGCGCATTTCGGAAGTGATCGAGAAGCACGTCGGGAGAGCATCGGCTACATGTGTCAACATGTGGAGCAGGCGACGTCTGCCTTTGAGATGGCAGCTTCCGGTCTGGACGTGGCCATCACGTTCATGGGCAGAGCGTGCGAGAGCGCACAGCGAAAGCGACCCGATCAGGGGCGCTCGCCTCCGAGACACAGATGTCGCACCAGTCTCCTCGGGGCAACCACGGCAGACGACCCTGTGCGACGAGCGGTGCCGACATTCTTGTGCGTGGGCCTGGCCTGTCGGGCCCTTCCGCGGGGCGCCCGCGGGCTTGCCGTCGACCCCCGTCTCCTCCGCTCCCCCCCCTCCCCGGAGGCGCGGTGTCTCTCTCGGCTCCCTCCCTGCGCCACGGGCCACACGGGCCGAAGGCAACGCACCGCTGCTCGCACCACCCCTTCTGCTGTCGCACGCCATGCCCAGGGCCGTGCGCCTCGGGCCACGGACCACCGTCAACACGCTGGCCGCTTCCAGCGCCCGCGTCCGCACGCCACAGGCCACAGGCCATTGCTCGCAGCAGCGACGATGGACTCGGTGGCCACCGCAGTGCGCATGGCCGTGAAGGGCTCGCAGATACCAGCTGCTTGAGGAGATTGCCACGGGGAGAATGTTTGCGGGGAGGGCGGCGTCGAGAGGGTCCGCATGCAGTAATCGAGCAGGCACGATCATTACAACGGAGTCCCAGGGTAGCTTTACAAGCGCGAGGGCTTGACTCTTCGATACGTTAAATACGATCGAGATGTTGGCCGGAACGAGGCTTGGGGCGGCGGGTCTACGATCACCGAGCGCGTTCCATTACTCACAAAGTGCCTCCTCACAAAACTTCCGAGAACACACATGTTTGCCTCGATATAAATTGATCGTAAGTCCCCCGCGGCGGACCCAGGCCGTTTGCGAGTAGTTACTTGCGAGTAGTAGAACGCGTTTGCCTATACGAGGACAGGTGCACAGATTCCGTCCACCAGAGGTTTTTTAACGGAGGTGGTAACGTACGTTGCCAGGCATGTAGGCGATTGGCGATCGTGGTTGGGGAATCCGCGTAATGACCACCTGGCGCTGTTCGCCCATGCTTTAGCTCCCATCATTGTAATAGATAGTTACCAGATCGTGCAACTATGTCCCATTAAACATCGTCGTGCCAGCAATTCGGATTGCTTCTAGCTCGCTTACGAAAAAAATAGTCGATGCGGCGCAGCTTGATTGTTTGAGTGGTGTCTTGTCTTGGAGTGTTTAATGAAGTTCAGTTCTCGTATGCTGCAAGCTTGCAGCAACAGCGTTTTGCGTACACGCTGTATTGCTGATTGTTGATATTCGCTGTCTTTCCGTAGCATCTTCTTTGTCTCCTCTTCCGACGAGCAGTAGTTCTAGAAGTGGGTTCGTATGGAAGATGGTCATCATTAAGGTTCTCTGTTGGAAAATGTTCTTTCAAACGATCTTCCAGACAATTTCCGCAAAGGTGCAGATCGTAAACTTATCCTGGACAACGTGGTCGTTCAACATACTGGGCCGACGCTCCTGCTATCGATCTCCGCGAGAAGCGTCGAGTCGTTTGCAGCCAGGGTTTGTTCTATGACGTCCAACTGTGGGAACTCGCGGAAGTGTACATTTGACGTACCGCATTCGAGGACAATCGAAATCGGCGGTGTCGGCTAGTGGGGGGGGGGCCGTGCAGGGCTCTCCTGGTCGGGCCGAGTCTGTCGCCAATTCACCGTCATCCTTTCTTCATCCTCTTACGGACGCATTGCGTCGCTGATATCCAAACACTTGTGAATATGGAGCATTGCGGTCGTGCCCAACCCCTCACAGATGAGATATCGGCATGAGCACCCAGCGTAATGGCGCGCCTTCAGTATTATGCTGGAGTTCTCCTCGGCACCGGACGGGACAGGGACAAGGATGTGGCGAAGGGAAGATGCACAAACGCAAGTGTTTGTAATGCAGGGGCCGCAAGGTTTGTCAAGGGTGGGTTTCGTGAAAGTTGGCAATGGCTTGTTTTAGCGCCTGATGCTACAATACATCAATGGAAGCAGAGCTCCCTTGAAAAGTACACCTCTGCTGGGACTTGATCAACCGCGGTACGGGATTGGGCTGGGTGGGTGGGACTATGATCCCACCTTGCTTTGTATGGACGGGACTTGATGCATCCTGATCTGAGAATATAATATCATCTATACTATAGGATGGGATCAAGTCCCGTCCTGCGCCAGGAGGCTGGGGGTGTACGGGAGGGCTCATCATCATCATCATGACCATGATGATGGTGATCATGATCCATCGTCATGATGGTGGTCGCCACGGTCACAACATCATGGCAGTACTAATCATCCCGGTACGGACTGCGATCACCGCCAGTTTTCCGACGGTCGACACCAACGTAACCACGGTCGTGATGAGAACGGCCATGGCGGTCACCCGCAATCAATACATGATGTGTCAAATGCCGAACGCGCGAGCGCATCAACTTGCCGCAACTGCCCCGCGCGATGCCCATTGGGATAATCAAAAAAAATGATCTCCACCGCGAAATATGTTTTTAAGAATGTCAAGAATCGGCCAGAACACCTCGAGAAGTCTTCCAGCGTCATGGCTGTGATTTGGCCTGGCTCTTTCGTAGTGTTCTCATTGGCAGTTCTCCAAAGTCACAGAAATCCACGCGTGGCTTTGACGGACGTGGTAATATAATGGATTGCACCATGTTGGACCGATCAGCATTGATGTAGGTGTTCCCATACGCATATGAGCCGATGCGAAAGTCCATTTCGTTTCTTGAAGATGACGTGTACATAGCGCTTCGGCTTCATTGCACCACGCTTTGACGCCGAACAGCGGTCATGGCCTCGATCGGGTGAGCCTTGAGCTGACCCATGAAGGCCCGGAATGGCCGAAAGTTCTGGCTTGGTGTTTGTTTGACAGCTCATCTGATTGTCCGGGCGTCCATGTAAAAGTTTGCGAGGTGGTAGTTCTGTTGTATGGTCGCAATGAGCAGGAGTCGGCTAGACGTAGGAGTGACCGTTTCGCCAGAGTGACTTTTGGTGCGGGCCCGATGGGGCCCGTCGATTGCTGAATACGATGCGATAGCAGCGGCTTGCGCGCCTCGTGATGTCCCCCAAGGGCCCCCACTTGGCCGCGCACTGAAGGTCGCTCTTGCCTAGGGTCACCCTTGCGTGCAGCTGAACGAGGAGGGTGGGGAGGATCATTATTAGCACCGTGCCCATGGCTAGGAGTTGCGCCCCTTCCAGCGTGTCAGGCCGACCCCCGTGAGGGCCCTTGCCGATCGGAGCGCGGGCCTGAGGACGAGCGGAGGGCGTCCGCACGCCGCGAGCCGCCGAGGACAGGGCGGAGGATGTACGAGCAGGCAGGAGGCAGGAGGCCGGCGGAGCAGCAGCGGCAGAAGACGGCAGTGGCCGCGAGCCGCAGGGCACGCGCCAGAGGCGGAGGCCGCGTTGCCCCCAGCCGTGTGCGCCCCCCCAGGCCTGGAACCTCAGGCGCTTCGTGGTGGACGCGTGCTGCGAACTGGACATCAAGGACTCGAGCTGGGGGCCTGCGCCCGACCTCTTTCTCCTCTCTCTCCCCCCCCAGATTTTCGGCCGGGTCGAGATGCGGGAGGCCCCGAGAGGCGGCCTGCTGCCTGAGGAGCCACCAATGCTGGCCTCCATCAAGCTGCTGATTTGCAGGAGGTCTTGTCGGGCGACTCCACAGGGCATCCCCCCCCCCCCTTCCGTCCCTCCCTGCATGCTCTTCCTCTCGGCTGCCAGTAGGCATGTTGGAGAGGAGGGCCTTAAGGTTCCCCCGTTCTCCCCCTGCGCATCTTTTCCTCTCCCGCTCGCCCTTCCCCTCCCTCCCCCATCCACCTTTCTCGCACTGCAGCGCTCCTTGTCCTCCTTGTTCCTCCCGCCACAGAGGCCAGCGGGCGGGTCAGAATTCCCGCGCCCAAGGACGGTTCCTACAAGCACCCGGCCTTTGCGGAAGGACGGGTCCGGATCCCAGGTCAGTGATCGCATTTGGCCATTGTTCGCGAATTAGCGAGTTGTCTCGTTCCAAACGGTCTCTTCCCCAACAGTGTTTTGCGAACCCGACTCGCCAATGATTAATTCCGAGAGAGAAGGAGGGAGAGGCTGACTCAACAGGTGCGTTCGACCACGCCTCATGGCAGTCTGGCGAAATTGCATGTGATCATCTCGAGTCTCTTCCAAGAGAATTGCCTCTTGCCGACCAGACGGCCGTTTTTTCCGGTGAAATGGTATCAAAATATTAAGTTCCTTTGGTTTCGTGTGCACCAGGGTGTTGGACAAATCGCGTTTCATCCATTTGGTTCAAGTAGCGTTGGATAGATGGCTCTGTCATATTTCTCTCACCCGGGAGGCTTATGAGCTTTGGTGTTGGTGTTGTGTGCAGCGGGCGACCAGTAAGCCGCTCGACATAGTGGTGCGATGCCAGAGTCACGTAGCACGTTTGAATGCATACACAGATTCGTTTCTCGGCGAAGCGCATTGTCGCGGCGTGCCATACTGAGGTCCAGATTTGTTTTTCCGAGACGGAGGCCGTGAAGCAGGGCTACTCGTTGTCCTTATTGACGGGCAAGGTGGGGCAGCTTTGCGGGCCAAAGTGTTTGCGCCGCCGCCTCGCAAAGCTTCCGGCGAGGCTCGGGTTGGTTGGTTTTGGTCGGACACGGCCACGGCGCTCGTATTCTCACGGCCAGCGGCGTCCAAGAGTGAGGAGGAGGAGGAGGAGGAGCAGGAGGAGGAGGAGGAGGCGGAGGAGGAAACGGGAACACGCAGGAGAGGGAGAGGCAAGTCGTACGTCCGGAGTTCGCGCCACATTCCGTCCGCGCATCAGGGACCCAGGGGGCACATGTGATAGGTTCGTGTCGTGTCGACGCGGCGGCGGCCCCGCCTCGGGCGTTCAAGGTTGCACGCCGCTTTTGGCCCAGAATCGGCAAACATGGAGCGACCTGGCGATCGAAAGGCCGCCGGATCGTGAAAGGTTGAATGATCCACACGGTGTCAGCAACCGACGCCAGGATCGACACGACGCGAACTTGCCCTAGGCACACCGCTCCCCTCGCAATTCCCATGCTTCGAGTAGAGGATCGACTACAGAATTCATTTACCCCAAAAATGGTTTTTCGTCGAGTCTATCAAATGGATTAATATGTTGCATGGATTCGACTGAAAAAGCAATCCTGGGGTAAATCAGTTCTGTAGTCGATCCCTTACTCGAATGCTGCTTTTCTTGTCCCCCTTCGAGGACGGCGGGCGTCACAGGAGCAGCAGTGCAGGAGAAGGAGAGGGAAGTAGGCGCCAGAGCCGCAGGAGCAGGAGGAGGGCGGGGAAGGGGAGGGGCAGGAGGAGCAGGAGGAGCAGGAGGAGCAGGAGGAGCAGGAGGAGCAGGAGGAGCAGGAGGAGCAGGAGGAGGCGGAGGAGGAGGAGGAGGAGGAGGAGCAGGAGGAGCAGGAGGAGAGGGGGGCGCAACAATGGCTACACGACATACCGACGTCAGCATTTGTATCTCAGACGCCAGCTCCAAGACGGACAGACAGGGTCCACCCCATTGGCTCCAATGAAGGACCATCTGGGACGCAGATTTGCGCACAACAACATACAACAACAAAGACCAAAGGTTCTTGGACTACATCGAGACTGTACGGAACCACCAGATGCAGTACCAGCAGTGCTTACCTGAAGTACAGCAGCGGAATTTACGACATGCAGAGTTTCCACAGCAACAAGAAGTTTCTACAGCCATGGCAGCGCTGGCCGTACCGAAGCCCAAGTTCCCAGCACCAGAACATAAAGTGGCACCTGCAGCGCATACTCTTCCAGTATCTTCGCAAAAGGCCCCGCCTACGGCGAAGCCGACTCCTTCTACGAGACTTGAGGAGGGTAGCCCCTACCGGAGCCGATGGATACAACAGACGACATTGGCACCAGATATGGACAATACTTTTTCACGACATCCACGACGGCTAACTTCAGAACCTCAGCCACCGCAGAAGGAGAACTGCTGAGGGACAGCTTGCAGTCTGTCACCTCCAGTCTGAGGTACCAAGGCTCCTGCTTCGTCATCGTTCGCCTCTCCACTCTTCTCACCTTTCCGTTCCTCATGCATGCGGGCTTCCTCTCCCCCCTCAGGGGTCGGGCCTCACTGACTGCTGGGGAAAGCTGAGGCCCTGTTCTTCCGCTTGCAGAGGCATAGGGCCTCAGTCTTCGCCTCCTTCGGCATGCTACATCGTGCTACTCCCCCTGCTCCCTCTTCAATCTTCCCCGTCGTTGCTGCTTGCTACTGAATTAAGATACAATTGCATTCACCATTTACGCTCCGTCTCAGTCGCAGTCCGCTCTGCCAATTCACTCGGCCACGTAAAGTACCTGTTCTTTTTGCCCAGCGAGCCTTTAACAAGATTGGGCGACTTCACATCCAACAGTTGCCCAAACGCTCCCATGCCGCCAGAATTTCAGTCACTGCCTCTACACATCGCCATAGCTATTCCAGCTTAGCTCTGCTTCCTGTTACTTGGCATGGGAGTGCCGGCCCAACAGGACATGCATGGGGATTGGGGGAGGTGGTTGTATCAGGGGAGGGGGTATTGTTGGTACGGTTGCTTCTTGGAAAACAAATGCTCTGCGTGTTTCCCGGCCCTCCTATACAGGGTGTGGCCGCATGCGTTCAATAGCTCACCTCGCAGTCGCAGAAACACTTGCGAGACTAGCTACCTGTCCTGTCATGCATTTCTCTTTGCATGCATCTGTTCTGCCTATGTGATTCTCACTGCCTCCACACACACCGCCTTAGCCATTCCAGCTTAGCTCTGCTTCCTGTTACTGGCCTGGCAGCGCCGGCCCACATGAATTGCATGACGATCGGTGGTAGTGGCTGTAGCTGGGATAGGGGTATTGTTAGTACGGTTTGGGACAGAAGCACTCAGCCTGTTTCCTGGCCTTCCTATACAGGGTGGGCCGCATACTTTCAACAGTTCAGATCGCAATCACAGTGACATCTGCGAGACCAGCTACCTCTCTTATTATATTACGCTCAGTCTCACGATCTCCGCACTCTGCACTTCGGCTCCATTGGCTCCAAACTTTCAGCTCCTATTCAGACATATCGAAGGCCAGCCTACATAGCCCAGCTTTTACAGCGCTAGCCTTACTTCTGTACGGTTAGCAGCACCAGTCAGCACGTACTGCCTTTGCCATCCTCAGCCGCACATCTGCTGGTACCAAGGGTTCGTGTTTAATCCGAAATGAGTTAACAAAAAGCACGAGGGTCCTGGGACCATGGAGGTGTGCGGTGAACCGAAAAACCCTGGGCGGCAACCCAAGAATTGCCACTGGCTGCACTTGCTCTCAATTCTACAGCTTTAAGCCTCGCCTATTACGCCACTTGACTCTAGCCACAAGCCTCATGCTCCCACTCTCTCTTGAGTCGTTTGTCTTTCTGTTGCATAATTGCATAACTAGGCATACAACGCGGGTACGGAGAGTCTGGGTTTGATTCGTGCTTTCAGGCCGACTTGACCTGCAGCGCCAGCCAGTGCTATGGTTATCCATTTTTCTCACGCATGCGAATTCAATGTGTTTCCTCGCGGGAGGTGCCGGATGGGATTTATATTTGGAATAAATGGGTACAACGGTAATCCCAGGCTTTGTTGTTGTCTTATTGCCTAGCGGCTGCATAATCTAAGGCACTCCTCTTTTCTGTCATTGTTGCCTCTCTTTGCCCGTTGCGCCCGCCAGTTTAATTTGTTTTACGCTAGGCCTAAGTCGGCCCACAAGACGCAAAGATCATCTGATTGATGTTCGGGCAACGTCAAAAAAGGAGGACAGGGGGCAGGAAACCGAGGAGGAGGAGGAGGCGGAGGAGAAGCAAGGGGAGGGGCCACGAAAGGCCTCCGGAAGGCCTCCTTCTCTTCAGGACCTCTGGATGGATCTTCGGGTCTCCCGGGCACCTCTCGGAGCGTTCTTGTGGGATGTTCGGACACGCGTGGGCTCTCGAGGATCGTCTGAGGGGGTCTTGGGCCGCCTTGAAGACGCCTTGGGGCCGGAGCCCTCTTGCGGTTATCTTGAACGCCGTGAGGGCGTCCTGGTCAGTCTGGAGGCCGTCGAGAAGGCCGAGAGGGGGGGTGGGGCGAGGAGGTCGGTGAACGCAGCGAGGTGCGACACGCAGTGGAGGCTCACGTAGGAAACGACAGAAACCGAACAAGACCGCTCTGACATGTAACACCACGCCCCAATCCCAATATGCAGGAGGGCACTGGGGCGGACATGATGCGTTCCTTGTCGGAAGCACCGTGCGAGGGCGTCGATTGCGGTTCGTGGCTGGGAGTGCCAGCAGCAAGACCAGGGGGAGGACGAAAAGCAGCAGCAGCAGCATCAGCAGCAGCAGCAGCAGCAGTAGCTATGAGAAGAAATCGAGGATCAGGTGACGAGAAGTGGCACGGTCGGAAACGGGAGCGGGCAGATCTTGATGGATTCCTCTTTGCCCATGCATCCAATGTGTGAAAGCCGTTGTCTGCTGACACGCCTGCCGACGCTTGCTTGAAGATATCCGCGCGCCCACAGTGCCGCGCGGTCGGTGTGTTCCGAGGTTGTCCCCCAGTTGTTCGCACGGTGCGGTGACGGGCGTTCCGACCCGTCGGAATTGCGCCCGCCCGATCTGAAATCGAAGCGGTTTCGAGACGCATACGAGTATCCATGTGTGCTCCGCTTGCTCTTCCCTCATCCTCGGTCACCTCCTCATCCACCTCATCTTCCTCATACATCTCCTCCTTCTCCTCATCATCATCAGCATCATAATCATCATCATCAGCAGCATCATCATCATCATCATCATCAGCATCATCATATTCTCCAGCCTCCTCGCCCTCCTGCTCCTTCACCTCCTCCTGCCTGCTCTTGCTCCGTCTCCCAGGTGCGACAGAATCGGGCCCACAAGTTCGAGGACACTAGCGATGTGGTGGTGGCCTTGCTGGCCTCGAGCACGATGGGCATATCTGGCATGCCCTTCACCATGAGGAGCGGGGAAGCAGCGCATCCCCACATCCCTCCCAGCATCCCCCTCTCCCCTCGTCACCACTTTGGCATCGACCACGGTAGGCATCTCCGATGTGCCCTTGAGGGCTGTCAGCTGTACGCCACCGTGCCCACCACAGGCAGACCTGGCCAGGCGCGCAGGTTGGTGTGCAGAGCTCACTGGCCTCCGAGAAGCAGGGGCGCGGAGGCGAGGAGGGGGTGCAGGAGGGGCAGGAGGGAGGAAGAGGCGAAGAAGTGGAGAGGAGGGAGAAGGGAGACGGGGAGGAGGAGAAGCACAACGGAGGGGGGAGCAGGGAGGAGAAGGGTGACTGGAGCTGGAGGAGGAGAAGGAGGAGGAGGAGGAGGCCGAGAGGGAGGGAACGATCGAACGAACGCCAGAGACACGCGCGCGTTCCGCCTGGAGCCCACTCGTACCCATCAGGGCACGGTAGGCCGTAGCCTCAGACCGTGGGCTTGTTGAAGGCGTGGGTGAAGCAGTACTTGACCAGGTCGATGATTTGCGTGAGTTCATCAGCTTCGTCCTTGGCATTGGCCGGCTCGTGCGCCTCTTGCGAAGGCCTTACGGCCGGTGCCGCCGACCCTGAAGGGGGCGACGAGACGACGACGACGACGACGACGACGACGACGACGACGACGACGACGACGACGACGACGACGCTGCTGACGTGGGCCAGAGTCCTCGGGGATGCTTCTTGGGATCTCTTCGGAAGGCGCTCAGGGGCCTCTGTGGAGGAATTTTGGAGCCTCTCGGGGACCTCTTGGGAGCCTCCCCGTGGGGACCTTTTCGGGCTTCCTGGGGACCTCGTGTGGGCCTCCACGGGCCTCTTGGGAACCTCGGTCGCCTCCTGGGAGCCTGTCGGGGCCGCGGGCTCGAAAGGTGGGGGCCCCTTGGGCCGTCTTGGAGGCGCTTGGGGTTGTCTTGGGGTCCCATTGCACTGTTTGGGGGCCTCTTTCGAGGCCTCCTGGGCCGTCTTGAGGCGATCTTGGGGGCCTATCGGGCCGTCCTGGAGCGGCGGGAAGCGGAAAAGGCGGGAACGCTTGTTTTAGAAAACCTATGGAAAATCAATGATTGTTGACTCTTTGGGCCCTCTCGGGAGTGCTCTTAGAGGCTTCTGGGGGCGTCTTGGAGGCCTCCCGGCAGTCTGGAGGATGTGAAGGCGTTTTGAATCCGCTTCGTCTTTGGCATTGGCCAGGTCGTTCCCCTATTCCAGGACGATGTTTTCCAAGTTGTAGGCCTCCAGCCTGGTATCGTCCTCATCGTTTGTGCTTTTCTCCATCTGGCTGACCATATCGTCGTGAAAGGCCTCTTTGACTCCAATCTCCTCGTTGACCCCATCACTGTTGTTGGAGCTCCCGTCGTCCTTACCTACCTCGCCAAACAGAACATCGCTCTTGTTCTCGCCTGTGTTGTTGAGTCACTCGTCGAATAGAGTATCCTAGTCCTCGACCACTGTATCGAAGTTGAGCTGACTCGTGTTATGCTCGATGAGGTCAGAGACTCCGTATTTGTTCCGCTCTGGGGCGAGCTACATTTCAGACTCCCGGCTGCGCTCAACTGTTTTCGGCACGATTTTCTCCAAATAGGTTTGCCCTATAGGAGTCCTAGCTCATCATCAGCAACTGGTCTTTAGCACCCCCCCTTTTTTCTAATGGCACCCCCTCTTTTTCCAATGGCACCCTCCCCTTTTCCAATAGCACTTGCTTGCTTGCTCTTGCATGCTTGCTCTCGCTTGCTTGCTTGCTCTTGCTTGCCCTTGCTTGCTTGCACTTGATCGCTGGCTCTTGCTTGCTTGTTATTGCTCGCTTGCGCTTGCTTGCTTGCGCTTGCTTGATGTTGCTCCTCCCGTCCTCCTTTCGTCCTCCTCCCATCCTCCTCTCGTCCTCCGCCTGTCATCCTATCTATTTGGATTCAACGCTGGCTGGTATTACCAATCATCACGTCAATGTGTTGGAAGTGTGTCAACGGAGTGCGGAACCTGAAAAGATCAATATGTTTGTGTCATGCCTCGAGGTTGATGTCACGATGCGTTGGCGGCGCACGCACATAGGCGGTGGGAAAGTCTTCCATCTTCTTTGTCAACATATAGGTGTGTATATATACAAATATGTATATACACACATATCTATGTGCATATACATATATACATATAGACGCACATACAGGACTGCATCGGCTCTTCGAGAGATGCACCTTGGTCCTTCAACTTTGCAGATATTTGCCCCACGCGCCATCTTTTGTGGCCCTTGAACTGTGACTGGCTCCCCTCCAGTCTCGTTCCCGTTCAGTCCTTGCTTTCTCTCCCTCGCCTCACAGAGCCCCAAAACTTCTCTTCATCCGCGTGTGGTGCCGAACCTCGAGGCTGACCTGGCCACGTGGCGACGAGAACGCCATTGGAGGCTCCGAAAGAGCGGACCTTATATGAAAACAACGAGGGCCGAACCAGGAACCCGAATTCTGTGCCGGCTCGTGTCGTGACGGCCCGCGCGTCGATGTCTGAACATGTTGGATCGTTCAGCCTTGAGCGATCGCGGAATTCTGGCCTTCTTTGGGTTCGTTAGGGGCTTTTTTGAACATTTGTTATCGCTCGGACTTGTGCACTTATCCCTCGGCAAGGACCATCGAGGTGCATCCTGGATGATTTGTATATATATCTATATTCTTTTTAAAAAAAAAAAAAAAAAAAAAAAAAAAAAAAAAAAAAAAAAAAAAAAAAAAAAAAAAAAAAAAAAAAAAAAAAAAAAAAAAAAAAAAAAAAAAAAAAAAAAAAAAAAAAAAAAAAAAAAAAAAACAAACAAAAAAGACAAAGAAAAAAAAAAAAAAAAAAAAAAAAAAAAATGTTTTTTTAAAACAAAAAAAAAAAAAAAAAAAAAAAAAAAAAAAAAAAAAAAAAAAAAAAAAAAAAAAAAAAAAAAAAAAAAAAAAAAAAAAAAAAAAAAAAAACACGCACGAAGACAAAAAAATCACGGGGAATGGATATCCGAGCGATGGCAAGGACATGTGGGGTTTCTCTTGGGCCGTTGCGGGGGCCCTCTGGGGCTTTTGGGCCGGCAAGGCGCCCTTGGAGACCTGGAAGGGCAGGGGGACCTCTTCCAAGGGCGCCCAGGGGGCCCCGAAGCCCCGGATCCCAGTGGTCCATTTTTGGGGGAGGGGTGAGGGTGCCCCCCCCCCTGCCTTATAAAAAATGGGAAGAGAAATCGATATTGCTTAGCATACCGCTCATTAATGGTTCAATCCGGTCGAAACGCACGTTGACCGTCTTTGCGACGTTGCGTGCCGCTCGGAGTCCCGAGCTTGCCACACACTGGATAGGGCCATGGCCATGTTCGTAAAAAGCTATTGTGTGTTGTGCTTGCTGCGACCGAAATATGTGCACACCTGAGCCTACGTAAACCTGGGGCAAAGGAAAGAGAGAGAGAGAGAAAGGGGAAGGTTGGGGAGGTGGAGAAGGTGTTCAGGTGGAGAATCGAGGGGCAGGCGGGAAGAAAGAGAAGGGAGGAGGAGGAGAAGAAGAAGAAGAAGGGGCAGGACAAGTTGAGGGGAAGGGGGGAGGAAGGGGGCGGTAGTGTGTTTAGGGCAGGTGGGATAAGAAATGGCGCTTCAGGAGGACAGGAAGGAGGTCTCGATTGGTCCTCCGCGGGAGCACCAAGCAGATTGGCCATGGGACACCACAATCTGATACAGTCTGGCCCACCATACAGGCTAAAGCGATTTCAAGTCGCACGCAACGCACGGGGTAGGAGGAAGTGGAGGAGGAGGAGGAGGAGGAGGAGGAGGAGGAGAAGGAGGAGGAGGACGAGAGGAGGAGGGGAGGGGAGAGGAGGAGGAGGAGGAGGAGGGGAGAGGAAGAGGAGGAGGAGGAGGACCAGTGGAAACCCAAGAGTCATCAACGATGTTGGAATTAACCCTCCCTCCAAGCTCCCTTTTCATAGGCCCCTACAACGGTTCATTTACATTGAGGGAACGGCCTCGCTGGAGGACAACAGTTTGAAGATCCTGAAGCGTGCCAAAACATCGTTCTCGGGATTTCAACGCCCGTATCAACTTGACTTATGCGACTGGACGGTCCAGAATCGCGCCAGGACGGGATTTGGGGGTTTCAACACAGCGAATCAACAGAACTGCTGCGCCCGCATAATCCTGAATCCTTCCACATCACCATTTCTGGCACGCTGATCATGGGAATCCGCGCAATGCTTGCAAAGTTTAAATATATATTTATATTTATATATATATATATATATTAAAAAAAAAAAAAAAAAAAAAAAAAAAAAAAAAAAAAAAAAAAAAAAAAAAAAAAAAAAAAAAAAAAAAAAAAAAAAAAAAAAAAAAAAAAAAAAAAAAAAAAAAAAAAAAGGCGAGAGCCACATTCTGAAAAGGAACCGCCCTCAACCCGTGAAAGTCTTGCAAATGTTAAAAACGAATGTGCGCGGCGCTAAAGCGAGAGCCACATTCTGAAAACGGCCCGCCCTCAATCCGCAAAACTCTTGCAAAGTTTCAAAAAAACGAGTGTGCGCGGCGCTAAGGCGAGAGTCACATTTTGAAGATGAACCGCCCTCAATCCGTGAAACGCTTGCAAAGTTTACAAAGGAATGTGCGCGGCGCTAAGGCGAGAGCCACATTCTGAAAATGAACCGCCCTCAATCCATGAAACGCTTGCAAATGTTCAAAACGAGTGTGCGCGGCGCTAAAGCGAGAGCCACATTTTGAAAATGAACCGCCCTCAATCCGTGGAACGCTTGCAAAGTTAAAAAACGAATGTGCGCGGCGCCAAGGCGAGAGCCACATTCTGAAAAGGAACCGCCCTCAATGCGTGAAACCCTTGCAAATTTAAAAAAACGAGTGTGCGCGGCGCTAAGGCGAGAGCCACATTCTGAAAAGGAACCGCCCTCAATCCGTGAAACCCTTGCAAATGTTAAAAACGAATGTGCGCAGCGCTATGGCGAGAGCCACATGTGGCAAACCACCCGCCCTCCATCTGTGAAACTGCTGCAATTTTTAAGCTTCAGAACCACACATGATGAGAAAGTCTCAGGCGAAGTGCCCGGCCCGACTGAAAAACCGGCCTCGGGGTGCGACAGGGAGAAGTTATCCATAAGGAGAAGGACTGGAGGAGCAGGAGGAGGAGGGGAAGGAGGAGGGGGAGGAGGAGGAGGAGGGGGAGGAGGGGGAGGAGGAGGAGGAGGAGGAGGAGGAGAAGGAGGAGGAGGAGGAGGAGGAGGAAAAGGAGGAGGAGGAGGAGGAGGAGGAGGAGGAGGAGGAGGAGAGGGGCGGGGAACGGAGCGGAGAGGGCAGTTAGGGAGAGGAGAGTGGAAATTGAGGGAGGAACGAAGGAAGGAGGGAAGGAAGGACTGCAACGACGGATCTCCTACAAGCCTCGTCAACAGTGAGTTGAAACGCTGTTCAAAATCGAAGCGCTCAAGAGTTCGGGCACTTGTTTGAAAACGCGTTCTTCAATGCTGTGAGGGCACTGGATACGCCCCCGCGTCTGGGCCGAATACCTCATGCCAGCATTGAAGTAGCGCCGACCACGCAAGCACCGAAAGCAAAGACCGCCAATGTATGTTTGACGAGTCGTGTAGACATACATTTTACCAGGAGGAGCGGCGGAGGTCGGAAGCGGACATGTGCATACCGCCACCAGGTTTTGTGATGCCTATGTTGGGCCCCAAGTTTGTACACTGAGTTTCTTTGCGTGTGGAGGTGGAGGAGGAGCATGAAGAGAAGGAGCAGTCAAGAAAAAGAGAATGAGTAGCAGCAGGCGAGGGAGCAGAGGGAAGAGGTGCGGCAGCAGCAGGGAGGTGGGGGGGGAAAAAAGGACGGAAGAGCGAGGATCAAACGAGAAGGAAGGACAAACATGTTCGGTTCGGTTAGCCTTAGCTGGGGCTCGTTCGTCTGATCGGCCTAAACGGTCCATTATTCCAGGAACAAAGGCCAGATCAAGACAGCAATGGAGCAAATGTGCCACATGATGGAAGACACGAGATAATTGCTCTGACGTTGGATACTCTGAAGAAAGTTAAGATCACAAGGTCGACCTCCTCATCCTAATCCCACCAGCCGTTCCGTTTCTGCTCCGTTCCCAGCCCATTCCAGTTCCGCCCCCTCATCTTGGTTACCCATGGCGAGGCATTCCTCAGCACGTCATGGGTAGATCAAGTCGCCCGCATCTTCAGGTAGCTTCAGATTGGCACCGAACACAGTGTGGCGGAATGCAGCCTCATAGGGCATTTCCCTCTTCTCCCCCCTCCCGCTGCCATCCTCCTCCTGCTTCCATTTCGCTCTTCTCACCCTTGCCTCCTCCTCCTCCTCCTTCTCCTCAGCCCCCTGTTCCTCGCCCTCATGCTCGTCCTCTGTTCTCCTCCTCCTCCTCCCGAAGTCGGTGGCTCCTTTTCGAGGTGAAGCACGCAGGCAGGGTTGCAGGAGGGAGGGGGAGAGGGGTGAGAAGGGGAGTGGGGAGGAGTTGGAAGGAGGAGGAGGAGGAGGAGGAGAAGAAAAAGAAGACGAAGAAGTAGGATGAGGAGGAGGAGGAGGAGAAGAAGGAGGGGGAAGAGGAGGAGGAAAAGGAGGAGAAGCAGGAGGAGGAGGAGGAGGAGGCGTAGAGAGGGGGGGAGGGGTAGAAGGGGGAAATGGTGGAGGATGAGGAGGAGGAAGACAGGAGGCATGGGAGGAGGGGGAGGATGTGGTGGAAGCGAGCGAGGGCGAGGAGTGGAGGAGTGTGTCTCCTTCTCCCCCTCCGCCTGCTTCGTCTCGCCCTCGGACCGAGGAACGCAGAGGGCAAGAAGGTGAAGGTGGCCGACAGCGCGTTCACCTCCTTCCTGCCCACGGTAGACAAGTATTCGGTGAAGGCGAGGCGGTTCGGGCAGGCCTTGGTTCACCGCTTGGCCCGACCGCTCGAAGCACGGCGGTCGTTCGCGGGCCAGCCAGCCTGAGCCGATCTTCGGGTGACTTCCTTGTCGTGTCCAGTCTTCTTGCTAAGGCGGGCCCATTTGAATTCGATGCTCGCTCCATTGGCGGCTCCGACCACACATTCCTTGTTGTGTTTGCATGACGATGGGGGGGGAGGAGGAGGAGGAGGAGGAGGAGGAGGGGGAGGAGGACGAGGAGGAGGAGGAGGTTACAGGAACGCAGGACCAAGAGGAGGAGAAAAGGTGGAAGTAGAGGAGGACGAAGAAGAGAGACGATGCGAGCGACAAAGAACAGGAGCCCAATACGACATCGCGGAGCAATCACGTCTGATGGGAAGAAGTCACCCAACCAAGGTTTCCCACAGGGTCGGAACAACAGGGTTGGCCGCAAGTTTGGCTGGGGTTGGCCAGAGGGTTGACCGGGGTAGCTGTTCAATCGGCAGCTCTTTCTAAAGAATGCTACACTGTAGCCGTCAATAGAGGTCAGGAGAGGAGTAGGAGGCGGCGTATACATATGGGAGTCGTGAGCAGCGAGTACGTAGGAACTGCGAGCAGGGACTCGTGAATCTAGAGCAGCAAGCACAAGGACCAGAGAACGAGCAGCAGATCCACGAGCCCTGGGACGAGGGCAGGCGAGCGCTGGGAGGCAGGAGCGAGCAGTGGTTTGGAAGCACTGGGTCGGGGGCACGGCGCAGAGAGCCATGAGCATGCACGGAGCGGTGAGCCAGTCATGGCTCCCCATGTCCCCACACCACCAAATTCTAGACACTTCGCGTAGACCCACCAACAAAATGTAATTTGGCTCCGCCCGTAGCCCGGGTCGACCCTTGACGCCGCCTGCGCCTTCGCTTGCGGCTGCGTCCAAAAAAGTAGATTCACCAACCCATCCAGAAAGGATGCCCACAGGAGTTGCCTCGATCAGGGAAGTGGGCAGCACACAGAGGAAGGGTCCTCTAGTGGAGGCCTCTTGGAGCGACTTGATGGCCTCTTGGCGGTCCCAGGGGCCTTTGGGAGCGTCTTAGGTGCCTCGGGGAGCCTCTTGGAGGTCTCTTGGGAGCCTCGTGGAGGCCTCTTGGGCGCCTCTTGGGGCCTCCTGGGCGCCTCTTGGGGCCCTTTTGAGGCTCCCCATGTCCCACAGCACCAAATTTCCGCGCACGACCCAAAACTTCCGACTCGCTTCTCGCCGACCATTGCTCCCGAACCAGGCTGCCGTTGCCAAGTTACCCACTTCTCCTTGCCCTGCTGCACGTACATGTGCAGGACGATGGAAGAAGAGAAGGTGGAGGGAGGAGGGGGAGGAGGAGAAGTAGCAGGAGGACAAGGAGGAGGACGACGACGAGATGCAAAGACCGACTTAGCTGAATGGAGGGAGTTACCCGCAGGTGAAGCCGTTCTCGGACGGCTTGGGCGTCTTCGGCGGCAGGACCGAGCTCATGACGTCCGAGCTGGTCCCGTCGGTCTTCGGATTGTACCCAGCCCCAAACTACGACCAGGAAGCGCGCTTAGCCCTGCTAATCACGTCACATGACGTCCTGGGCAAACGAATTCGGGAGGATGACGCCATCTCTTCGTATGTCCGTCACAGATCCACACAAAGGATGTCATTCACTTCGGCGGGTTCCACTGAAAAGGTAACGGCCTCATCAACCTGAATGGTGAGCATCGTATGTGCTTTGGGGCACGCGCCAGCAGTCATATTATGATCCAGTCGCTTAAGCGCAGGAACACCTACAATCACCTGCAGCTTGAGACAAGAGTACCCTTAGGACACGTAGCTAGTAATAGTCTTATGGAAACGCCCGCTGCGCCTCCTTGCGAGCATAGTTTTGAAGAGGGACCAGCCTACAACTGTCGAAAAGACAACAATGTCCAATTTCCGGGACCTGAAATGTGCCCCCCCCCCGCCCCATGTTTTGAACTGAAGGATGTTCGAAGGTCCCCTCAAGAGACCGCCAGATCTCACACGGGAGCCAGCATTCATCATTGCATCACGCGCGAGACTCAGTTTGATCACGAGTCGCCTCCCGTCTGGGCAGTTGATGCCCGCGCTTAAGACAAATTTCGGCCAGCGCCCAGGCGACAGCCAGAGTTCAAACAAAAAGGATCGGTCTTCATCAATGTGATTGATTGGCGAAGACGTTCAAGACGATTGCGTGCTGGCGCTACGGTGATAAGCATATTTCGAAAACGAACTTCCATCCATGCGCGCAGGTGTGAGAAGTATTTCAGACGATTGCTTGCTGCGCCAAAGTGAGAGCCAGATTTTGAAATCGGCATGTACCAATCCGTGCAAGTGTTGTAAATGTTAAGTTTGTGACCATGAGTGGCGAAGAGGTCGCAGGCAAGACGTTCCGACAGCCCTACCAACACGTCTGGTGCTGCCACAAGGGCGGAGGAAGAGGAGGAGAAGGCCCTGCAGGGAAATGAGTCGCGAGAATTCGTGATTAGGCGAGTCTTCCCCAATGTGTGGAGTGCAAACGGAGTGGAAAGATCGGCGGGTACCGCGAGCGGGGACAGGACGACGGCGCATCCCGAAGAAGCTTGGAGCCCGACCACCGCCCACCACCCAAACGTATGTGCATAAGTATACTTGCGTGTTATTGTTTACCCTCCTGGCCCCAAGGGGCTGGGCCAGGACCCTGAATGAGGTCCGCGCCCCCGTGGGATCGCCAGAATTTGTCCATGGGACGAATTTTCAGGCCTGCTAGGGGCTCTGGCAGTCGAGCGCCGCTCTGTCAGAACCACTACAAACAAGCCGCAACGCGGGCGGGTGACCCAGTGACGGCAGCAAGCACCGCGACTACGCGCGTTCCCACCCCTTCCCTCAGTCCTTCCTACCCACCCCTTCCCTCATTCCTTCATGTACCATGGAGCGGCTGGCGTAGGAAAGGAGACAGGTGACAGCAGGCATGGTGATGATCGCCGTTCCGACAAAGGATGGACGTCATGCATTGACGGCTTCACTTTGAGCTTGTCTCCCAGGACCATTTGTACGAGCTTGGCTACCGAGACGCCGAGATGTGGGTGGAAGACCACTTGGAGAGCACCATCAGTAGGATCAACGCAGCACCCAAGCAGAAGGCCGGACGGCCTGATAAGCTAACCCAGCGCCAACGAAAGCAGTGAGATCGGACAGTCGCAGGAGAAGCTGATGAGCATGACACGCAGCCTTTAGATGTTACGTCTTTCTCCTAGCTTCCACCTCTCCTTCCCGTTCCTCGTTTCCCTCAGCTTGCTCCTTCTCGCCCCCTCCTCATCCTCCTCATCATCATCATCAGCAGCATCAGCATCATCCTCCTAATCATCAGCATATCATCATCAGCAGCATCATCATCCTCATCATCATCAACATCATCAGCAGCAGCATCATCATCGGCATCATCACCATCATCATCATCATCATCATCATCATCATCATCATCATCATCATCATCATCATCATCATCATCATCATCATCATCATCATCATGGTCATGGTCATGGTCATCATCATCATCATCATCAGCAGCATCATCATCAGCATCATCATCATCCGCTCTGGCGCCCAGGAGCCCCGCGCGAGGCCCCGACATGCCAGGGAGTCCCCAGGTACGCACCAGGACAGGTTTCCCCCTCCTCATCGTGTGCATCGTCCTCCTCATCGTTGTTGTCCTTGTGTTGCATTTGCCCTTCAGACAAACAGTTTCCCCGCGTCGCACCACCAGACGTGTTGGTAGGGCGAGGGCCACGCGTGTTCCTTGAGGTGTGTTCACCGTACCTGCACGGATGGAGGATCGTAATTTCTTTTTCCATTCGCCCATCGCCTGGAAATGATATTCGAGTAATGAGCACGAAGCTCTAAACATCCCAGGGCTGCATAGACGAAGGGCGGGTGGTTTTCACAAACGCGCTCTCTCTCTCTCTCTCTCTCTCGCTTGAGGTTTCATTCCTAGCTCACTGTCTAAAGGTTATTAGCTTCATCGCTTACACTGACGGATGCGGGCGGATGTCAGCATCGAATTATCGATTTGGTGCCAAGGGCATGCTTGAAACCTTTTGAGTGGCTACTTGGATGGATGTTGAAGAGTTGTCCTACACAATGCGTGCTGGCACATCGAACTGTCGACTGACGGTATGGCCGTGTTCGTTCGCGCTGGCATGTTGCCATGCGGACCTCACCGTGTCCAGCTTCCCCAAGGGCTCGAGGCCGCTTCCCGTGGCAGCCCGGCACGATCCTGAGCCCCTTTCTGCTGGTGAGGCTTCGGGCTGCGCACAACAGAGCCCCCCCGGGGGCGCCGCAACACTCCGGCGCCGCCTCCTCCTCCTCCTCCTCCTCCCTCCTCCCTCCTCCTCCTCCTCCTCCTCCTCCTCCTCCTCCTCCAGCGGTTCAAGTTGGCCCTGGAGCGACAGTACAGGACCAGTTCGCCTCTGGTGGGCAAAAGTGGTGGGCCCGCTGTAGAATGGTTGCTGGCACGCGTGCCCCTGCTGATGCATGCTTGCGCCTCTACCGTGTCCTCATCCTTCCTTGTCTCTCGTACGTTGCTCAGTTATTCTTTCTCCCCCCTCTCATCCTTCAAAAGGAGGCGCATGCTTTGCATAAATTGTTACGATTGCCGCCCTCGTCCTTCGCTCTAAGGGAGTTGCACTCGCTTCGGTGGCTCCGTGCTCCTGAGCCCATGCAGTATCTGAACTTATCCTTTGTCTGGCGTGCTGCTGGACACACGTACAAAGGCTGGCGGAATGCGTTTCAGCGTCTCCAGCTCAGAGCAACGGCCGAAGGCCCCTTCCGACGCGCTCTGGCAGGAAACTGGTGTGCCCCGTGCTGGAGGATTCAGGAAAGCATAGTTCAGCGCTTCTCTACTTTCTTCTCTCCCCCCCCGTCCTCTGACCCTGGTCTTCTCACCCGCATCCCCCTTGCTCGCTCCATCCTCCTTAAAGCGCATGCCGATGCAATGTCAGCAGCGGAGTTGGCCTTCTCACGCCACAAACCACCGCGGCTCCAAGTCCAATACTCTCGGAGCCTTCAGGTGCAATGCATCCCTGATGGCATGCCACAGCTTATCTTGCGCCGCATGTCTATTTGGTTTCCCCAACTCCCTCTTCTCTCGCTCCTCGAGGTCGGTCGTCGTTGGCGTCTCCTCCGACCCATTCTCGCCCGATCTTTGCCCTCCAGGTCCTGGCCTCATATAAAAACCTTATCGGGGGCCTGGATCACCAGCGGGCGGGTGAAAATTTTACCTCCGAGCTCGTGTCGCTTCGGATGTCCATGTTCGGACGATTCTGCTCATTACATAGTGTGCCCACCCTTGTGGGCTGCGGCTTCCTCCCAAGCCACGTCATTCCTTCCCCCTGATCCTTGGGTTCGTCTCGGTCTGGGGGGTGAGTCCGTCTATGACGGCTTGGAGGGTGGTAGACAGCGGGTCCACGAGACGGTGTCTGTCAGCTTCCACATTTGCCACAAGCTGCGGGGTTCACTGCAGCCACAGTCCGCCGCCTCGGCCGCGCAGATCGCCCAGGCGCGCGCCGCGGCCCGAGCTGCTCTCTCATTGTAAGCACAGCACAGACCCCTCCAAGGTACGTGCGCTCCTCCTCCTCCAGCGGAGCCCCTGGGGCGCTCCGCGTGCCAGGGTCCAGGTATGGAGACCGCCCTGGACTACTCCGGGGACATGTTGAAGCCAGCCGAGACTAGCCAGGGGGGCTGTCAGCGCGCAGCCCGAAGCCCTCAACGCTCTGCCTTCCCGTGTCACGAATTGTTTTCAGGGCAACTCGGGCCAGAGCCGACCATGCCGCCCCGGGTCCCCGAGCCCATGGGAGGCACGCAGGAGACCGTCACCGCTCCAGCGGGCGCACTCGCCGTTCCGACAAAGGAGCAATCGGATGTGCATTTCGGGGGAGCGGACGTCGAACGGGAGGGCGTGCTGCCGCAGCGGTGCTGCGTCCTGCGCTGATCCGGGTCCTCCTCCATTCTTTTCCTAACGATTAATTCTTCCTTGTCCCACCCCGAGACCTGTCGAAAGGGCGGGCCGAGCGTTTCGCCTGAGCTTTTCTTGCGCGGGTCGCTGCCAAAATGCGGCCCTCGCGCTTTTGCGCCGCGCACATTCGTTTCAAACACCCGCAAGACCTCCACGGATTGTCGGGCGGGTGGTTTTGAAAATGCGGTTCTCGCCTTAACGCCGCGCACAGTTATGAAGGGTCCGGCTCGGTTCGGCTCGGTTAGGTTCCGGAGTGCGTCCGGTTCGGTTCGGTTCGGCGTCGGGATTCTCCGGTTCGGCCAGATTCGCCATGCGTTTCGCTCCGATTCCGCCCGGTTCGCCACGGAGGGGTTCGCCACAGAGCAGTCCCGGAGGCAATTCTGCAAGTCAAAGAGGCGTCTTTGCAAGCCCCAGACGCCACTTTGCAAGTCCCAGGGGCAATTTTGCAAGTGAGGCCATTTTGCAAGTCCTGGACGCGTTTTTGCAAGTGCTGGAATCAATTTTGCAGGTCCTGGGCGCGATCTTGCATGTCCCGGAGGCCATTTTGCAAATCCCAGACGCATTTTGCAAGTCCTGGAGGCTATTTTGCAAGTTGCGCAAGTCCCAGATGCCATTTTGCACCTCCCGGAAGCCATTTTGCAGGTCCCGGAAGCCATTTTGCAAGTCCCGGAGGCCTTTTTGTAAGTCCCGGAGGCCCCCCGGGGGCCTGATTTTCCAAGTCCCCGGAAGTTTTTTTGCAAGTCGTCCCCAGGGGCCCCCGGGACCCCCGGGGACTTGCAAAATCGGGACCCCAGGGGGCTTCGGAGGAGTTGCAGAATCGGGGCCCTTGGGGGCCTCGGGGCCGAACGGCTTCGAGACTTGCAAAATCAGGGCCCTGGAGACCTCCGGTTCATGGCGGTTCCATCTGGTTCGGCCAGGTTCGGTTGGAAATCGGTTCCGATTCGGTCCGGTTCGATTCACAATTGGGTCTCGTTCGGTTCCGGTTCGGTTCGGTTTCTGTTGATAAAAAAGTGCGGTGCGCGCCGGTTCGGTTCGGCCGGTTCGGTTCGGTTCCAGTTTCTTGAAGAAAAGTTTGCACGAATTTCACCGCTTGAGGGCGGGTGGTGTTCAAAATGTGGGTCTCGCCTTCGCGCCGCGCACATTCGCTTGAAACTTGTGCAAGGGCTTCGCGGATCGACGGCGGCGCGTTTCCAAAATGTTGTTCTCGCCATAGCGCCGCGCACATTCGTTTTTTTTAATTTGCAAGAGTTCCACAGATTTCCATGGTCAACGTGCCAGAAATGCTTTTTGTGGGAAGGACTCAGGATTGCCAGGGCGCCACAGTTACGTTGATTCGCGGTGTTGCAGTCCCAGAAACGGCATTAACTATTCCCGATCGTCAACACACAATAATCATGTTGTTTCGTGGCGCTGGAGTCCCGAGAATGGGGTTTTGGCACGTTTCATAGACTTCAAACGGTTGTCTCCCAACGAAGCACTTCCTTCAGTGGAAATGAGCTTTTGTAGTGGTCTATTAAGAGGGAGCTTGGAGGGAGGGTTGATTCCAACATTGTTGATGAGTCTTCGGTTAACACTCCTCCTCCTCCTCCTCCTCCTCCTCCTCCTCCTCCTCCTCCTCCTCCTCCTCTCCCTGCTTTTCCTCCTCCTCCTCCTCCTCCTCCTCCTCCTCCTCCTCATCATCCTCATCCTCATCCTCATCCTCATCCTTCTCCTCACCCTCATCATCATCCCCGGCATACGGCGATTAATTTTCAGAGGTCCTCGCGGAGCTATTCTGTTTGCGTTGGCCCCCTTGGCGGCGCATCTGGCGCCGCCCGTGGCGCATCTGGCGCCGCCCGGGGGTCCAGCGCAGATACAACAAAGCCGCGCGGGCATCCGAAAGTCTATGTTCATGCCGTAAGTGTGCACTTCCCTCCTCATCCTGCCTTTCCGCTTCTTCCTTGCCCCCTCTGCCGCTCCTCCTCCTCCTCCTCCTCCTCCTCCTTCTCCTCCTTCTCATCCTCCTCCTCCCGATTATCCTTCCCTTTCTCCTTCTCCTCCTCCTCCTCCTCATCCTCCTCCTCCTCTTCCTCCTTCCTCCTCCTTCCTCCTTCCTCCTCATCCATAAATAATTTGTCCCTGTCGCACCCCGAGACCAGTCGGGAGGGTGGGCCTGGCGTGTCGCTTGACATTAGTTTACCAGTTATGATCTTGAAGTTCAAAGATTGGCAGCAGACTCACATGTTGATGGCGGGCCGCTTCCAAAATGCCGTTCTCGCTTTAGCGCCGCGCGCATTTGTTTTGAACAGTTGAAAGAGCCTCGCGGATTGAGGGCGGGTCGTTTACAAAATGCTTGTTTTGTTTGTAGCGCCGCGCACATTCGATTTGCAAATTCGCAAGGCCTTCACGGATTAAGGGCGAACCGTCTTCAAAATGTGGTTCTCGTCTTAGTGCCGCGCACATAGTTCTTGTAAAAAAGAGTGGAAGAGCTTCACGGATGGATGGCGGGTCGGTTTCAAAATGTGGTTCTCGTTTGAGCGCCCCACACATCCGTTTTAAACATAATGCAAGAATGTCACGGAATCTTCATGGCTAACGTACCAGAAATCGTTTTTTGGAGTGGTTCATGTTTTGTTGGGCGCCACAGTTACGTTGATTCGCGGTGTTGAAGTCTCAGGATCGGCGCTCTGCTACGATTTAAGATCGCCCGTACGCAACAGTCATGTTGATTCGTGGCGCTGAAGTCCCCGATAATGTTGTTCTGGCACGCTTCAGAATATTCAAACGCTTGTCTCCCAACGGAGCATTCCTT